TGCCTTTTTTTCATGATTGATATATAAGTATTCCTATTCAGTCAAGTTTGCAGCTGATTGATCCTTTTTTCAATACACCGTCAGCCATTGACATTCTTGTGGGCGTAGAAGCGTTTTGGAGCATCTTATGTTCCTCTTCAATCGACTTAGGAGAAAATCAGCGCAAGCCTTACTAATCAAAATTAGGATGGATAGTATCGGGGTTTGTAGCTCGGCCTATTTCATCAGTTGCGCACGTACATTTGTATCTTTCACGATTTTTGTGTTTCGAACCAAGACACTAGTGTGGATATGAAGAGGAAATTAATAGAAATCTGGACTAAGTGAAATCTTTGATATTCAAAGGTGAAATGTAATTCCAGAGGTTGAAAAATCGTGGAAAGAATGAGGGAAGGTCTATTATTATGCATGTTTGTAAATATTATCTGTTATATATTTAAATTCATGTAATGTTCATGTAATTTTTTAAATAGATTACCCTTACCTAGAGACTTTTGTCTGGCAGAGGACAAGTCCTCAGCAAGGTTACTGGAAAAATGTATGTATGCATTTAACACCTGATGATGATTAAAGGTATCTATGACTTCATGTATCGCACGTGATACTGTTGGTTGGCTTATTGGCGCCATATCATTTCTTCCAATGCCTAGTCGAAAACTTCCTCCAGCGAAGAGCCGTAGAGCAGCTAATATCTAAAGCAAATATTACTGTCACATACGAGGTCACATACGTTGTTGACTGGGAGAAATTCTGGTAGTATGTATTCTCCACGTCTTATTTTCGTAACCGTTTTAATTTTACAAAATTATGATCAAATACATCACAAGGGTCCTCCGGGATATAGCGTTCTCTACGTTCCTCTGTCCTTTCGATATTTTGTATTACATTCAATTCCAATAACACGTTATAATTGGCCCATTTCTGAAGTTATTTATGAATATTTTTCAAGAATTTGCGAACCATTCGAAAGCTCATTGTATTTGCCGTCTCACAGAACAAGAAGAAAGTCAATGTTGTCTTTAACAACCACTCTGTAAACTGTTAAAGCTGTATATGCGCGAGAAGTGTAATAAGAATTTCAGTCGCGTGGTATTTTCGTTGTTATTGGAGATAGAGATGTACATATCGGGACATCTACAATGAAACAAGGTAATTTGTTTACTAAAACATTTTTTCAATCAGACAAACCGTTTAAGAAATATAAGTAATAGGTTAACCATTTATAAAAATGTAACGGGAGCGCGTCAGAATAGCAATTCTACTAACACCCGTTTAAACACGTACCCTGTCGCATAATTTCTTCTACGATTTCCGTCTACACAAAATCTCGATCATATAGGTCTGTCTGTCGGTCTGTACGTCTCTCATTTCTGGCTAAACTGCTGAATCGATTTGAAACAAATTTGGTAAACACGCGAGTGTTGTTCATCCTATGCTTTCTACCATGTATATTATTAGTTGTTATTGTAAGGGCCGATGCCGCGCTTTGCGTTAAGTCTAGGTAATATATACGAGAATACTGTAGAGAACATTCTATAAATTTCGATAGACATCGAGACGCCATGAAAGATTAGTCATCAGCGATAAAGAACGAAGACGGATGTGACGTAATATTTCTTAGAAATATGACGTGTTTGTTCGAGAACATTTTGAAGCGTCTATCACTACTCGAGAATATTCTAAGAACATTCTAGAAAGAATGTTGTTTGCTATATAAGCAAATCGAACTGCGTTTTGAGTGCAGTCCCAAAATAGATCCGCTTGAGTCATGTTATAAATAGTGTTTTTGAACATTATCCATCGTTCCTCTAAATGGGGTCGAGTGATATCAAAGATTAAGGAAATAGGATCTCAAAGCTTTCCCATAAATTTATTGTTGAACCAAAGAGTACCCACCAAAGAGTAACCATACTCTTTGGTGATGGTTACTCTTTGGTTGTACTATTAAAACACGACTATAGTTTCGGTGATAATCGCCATCATCAGGTGAAATTAATTATTAATTATATTAAGGTGTTGTTGTAAAGGTAAAACATTGAAGACGGGTTGAAAATGAAAAGAATAGATGTCAGAAAATTAAGTTTTTTGCCTCGTTTTATGCCTTTGTCGCAAATATGCAAAATTTCAAAATCTTTATTAGGGTTAAACGAGTGACCCGTTTCCAAGATGTGTGACGCGAAGGAGGATTTAGTGGACATGGAATTGTTATTTTTGATGCATAGGAAGTGTTCGAGGAACCTGGTGGAGAATTTCCTGCCGGTTTGGTCAATGTAAGACGATTTACATGTGGGGCATTTGAGTTTGTAGATACCAGATTTGTCTGTGAGAGGGATTTGGTCTTTCGTGTGGGACAGGAGAGGTTGTTATTTGCTTTAAAAATGAAGTTGATATTGAATTTTTGAAATATGTTTTGAAAACAATGGGAAATTTCGCCAATGTAAGGTAGGGAATGATAAGTGACAGTAGTTTTTTCAGGTGAGGGGGTTAAGAATGTGGTATTCAAAATTTCTAGTTTATGAAGGAGTTTAAATTGGAAATTTGTATCGGGGTCAAAGGATATTTGTTTTGAAAGGCTAAATGATTTGTAGTTCGGCATTAAATTTGGATTGACTTAGGGGTAGGTTAAATAATCTATGAAAATAAAATCTGAAGGAAGCTACATCTATTCTTCTCATTTTCAACCCGTCTTCAATGTTTAACCTTTACAATAACACCTTCAATCAATAATAATTAATTTCACCTGATGATGGCGATTATCGCCGAAACTATAGTCGTGTTTTAATAGTACAACAATAAATTTATGGGGAAAGCTTTGAGATCCGATTTTCTTAATCTTTGTTATAAATAGTGAGTGATAAATATTAATTACCGTTATAAATTAACCCATTTTAAGACTGTTATACCTTTATTGTTAATTATTTGTAAAAAAATAAACGCCGTAATTAAATTCTGCCCAAAAGTTTTACAGCTCTTTATTTTATGTCTAAGAATATGTGTACCAAATTTGTTTCAAGTCGATTCAGCCGTTTAGCCGGAAATGAGACACATACAGACCGACAGACAGACTTATATGATCGAAATTTTTTGTAGACGTAGATCGTAGACGAATTTATGCGACAGGGTACATGTTTAAACGGGTGTCCGTAGTATTGCTATTCTAACGCGCTCCCGTTACATTTTTATAAATGTTTAACCTATTATATTTCTTAAACGGTTTGTCTGATTGAAAAAATGTTTTAGTAAAAAAACTACCTTGTTTCATTGTACATTTTTGTCTCGATATGTATACCTCCATCTCCAATAATAGCGAAAATACCTGGCGACTGAAATTTTTATCACACTTCTCGCGCATATACAGCTTTAACAGTTTACAGAGTGGTCGTTAAAGACAACATTGACTTTCTTTTTGTTCTGTGAGACGGAAAATATAATGAGCTTTCGAATGGTACACAAATTCTTGAATAATATTCTTAAATATCTTCAGAAATGCGATGTAAACGTAAAAATTTCTAATGTTTGGGGAAGTGCGAAATTTTGTACAAATTATTTTTTTCTGGCTATTTGCAATCCGTGCGACTAGCGCGCCCTCTTGATTCAGAATCGGCATCTAATTCTGCACAAGATACATATTTTTCTAAATGTATATCTTCGAGTGCAGGTGGCACTATTTTAGAAGCGTCTTTTTGACACCCAGATTCCTGACTATAAATTATGATTTAGGTAACATTTGGGAGCTTGATAATGTTTCAGAAAAGCATTTGGTATTATATTTGATATTACTGTGAAGATTTTCCGCACGAAAGAATTTTGTTGAAACCCAGTACCTTCCCTTTAATTTCGAGTTTAATTTACTTCCCCCGCATCCATTCGCTTTTTATTGAGCGAATTATCTAATTCACAAATACTTTTGCATATGCGGCGATGCAGCTTTTGTCGTGTTTAATTTCATTAAGAGGCCCTTCTGTTGAAATTTCAGTAAGAGAAATACACAAATAACAAATTTAAGCTTTTGACAGGTTAAATATAATTGATCGAGATGCTTTTATTAAAAAGTGCTACTGTTGAAATTCTAGTAGATCAATTGACGTCTATCATGGAATCTCGAGAACCATAGAAAGATGAGGGAGAAAATATGCGCAATTAAAGAGTACACAACTCGGTAATAAATGAACCCTTGAATTTGTCTGATTAAAATATCGAAATTCCGTGACCCTTATAGTTTGGTAATTTAGTTGATCACCTAAAGAAATCACCTATTCAGCGCCGCCCCAAGTTAATGCTGCCACTTACGACTGGCAGACGAGTGATTTTATTATTAGTTTTCAACGTACATTCAGCCTGTATTGTCGAATATTTTGTCGCTTATGGTTTAGTTACTATGTACGCTGCCTCCCGGTCTACAGGGTTTTATTAACACTTCCCAAAAACTAACACCGCTTAATCGGAACGTAAATGTTTCCTCTGTTAATTCAATCATTTTTTAAATAATGAGTATAAAAGGATTAAACTATGGTTTTTTTGTAAACTTGCAAAATAGTAAACACATTTTTAAGCGAGTCATGCTCTTAGGATTCATTAAGTGGTACGCTATGCATTTGGACATTCACATGTTTGAGACTTCTTACAAAGATGTATACATTTTCCCTTGTCCTTGCGTGTTGACTATGTACATGAATTTTCGATAAAATTGTATTGTGTAGACGCTACTGAAAAAGGCTGGGAGCTGTTCCAGTGCTTAATGTTTTAAACGTCAGAGTCGACCATTTCACAGTTGGTCAGCTTGCCTATAGTACTGATTGGATGAAATGATACTCTAAATTCGTACATGTGGTGAAATAAATTAGTAGATATACATGTCGCATGCGCCAAGTGCATGTAAGTGATTACTTGAAGTGCACAGCGCCCATTTGGCTGGATACTAAAGGTACCTATGTATTTTGAATAGTTTCTATATTATTTTTTACTTTTTTGGGTGTATATCTATTACGATCCATTTACAGTAACCTTGAACCCAACTACAACCTTATCAATGTATCGAAAAATTCCCGACGATTTACAAAAAACAGCTGAGTGTAAATTAAATGAAGTCACAAGCCGTATTGAAAATGATATTACACAAATGAAGGAATGGATAGCAAAGCAACCACATTTAAATATTGAAATAGGTAAATGACACTAATTTGCATTTCATTAAAATCGTGATTGTAGACGATCAGTTTATTTTGACACTTCTGCGCTGCTGTAAGTTTAGCTTGCAGCGAACAAAAGAAAAAATCGACACTTATTACACTGCTAGATCTATCATGCCCGAAATATTTAGCAACCGAGATCCCTATCTGCCCGAAATACAGCATTTATTTAATAGCCGGTGGTATGTTCTTTACTGAAGGAAAACTGGGGGTTTCAAGTAGGTTTTTTTTAGTATAGCTCTCCCATTGCCAAATTTGGATCCTGATGATGGCAGCCGCATAATCTTCATTAACTACAGCAGCAGTCTGGACCCTAATTTGGTATCCTTGCGAAACCTGGACAAAGTGAATTATATGATTTTGGACATACTGATAAGGGAAGATGATGATATGATAATCAACGGCTTGAAACTTATAACTCACTGCAAAGATCTTAGCGTCAGATTTCTAAATGAACTTACTCCACTCTATATGAAAAGACATGTGTACCTTGTGAATGCGTTTCCACTTCGACTTCAAGCAGTACGTGTGGTGAACTGTCCTGCACCATTCGCATTCGCTTATAGTATTTTCAAAACATTCACCACTAGTAAAATAGGTCAAAGAGTAAGCACACCGTTATAATTGAAGAGAATCAACTTCCTCTTTCAGATGATCATGGTTAGTGAAACTAATGTTCCAGAATTATGCAGGCAATCACCTCACCTATTTCCAAAAGAGATGGGTGGTAACAATGGCTCCATACAGGAATTATCAGGTAACGTTAAAGTGTTGGTTCGTCAGCGTAACTTACGGTCATATCAGGTACATGGAAAAGAAAAGTAGAGAGTTACAGGGAATGGTTCTTGCAAGAAGAAGCTAAAAAGAGCGACGAGAGTTTACGTACAGAGCCACCAAAGACTGCACTGGACTTGTTTGGAGCAGATGGGACATTTCGCAAGTTGGAGATTGACTAAAAAGCTTCTAATAAATTGTAAGAACCTATCTACGAAACTGTAAATGTAATTGAAAATGACAGTGCAAGCTGTCTTGGTGTAAGTCGCAGTTCACTTTTAATAAAAGATACAAATCTTGTGGCAAACACACTTTTATTACCTTCTAAGATAAAATAGCCTTCTGCCATTCATATACAGTTCTTTTTACTATTCACTATTATTTAAGCTTTGTTGTTCAGCAGTTACTTACTCAAGCAAATTTGAAATCAGCATCTAAAACTGCAAAACATTCACCATTGTACCAATATCTTTAATAATAAGAAACTTACCCATGCAATCTCACGCGATTTGGGACACACTGTATACATATCTCTATACCCACCTCAACAAATTCTTTATTCACATTTTCATAAGACAAATTCGGCAAAAAGTGAACCCTTGAATTTGGGCAGATTACTGTATTGAAGTTACGGAATAAAATTTAAATTCTTGAAAAAAATGAGTCCTGAATGTACACCTGTGTCCAAGATAAGGATGTCTATAAAGGAGATCTCCAAAATCATAGAATATACGACGATGGTCAAATTAGAGAAAAGATGTGCAATTAAAGAGTTATTATCATGCTTTAAACAAAACCAGGAAATTTACATTTACAATTTACAACGTTTCGTTTTTGAGAAATCATCATCAACTTTATTTTTTATATGATTCGTAAAAAAGTAGGTACTGAGTAGCAATGATTATTACAAATACAATTTTTTTCTTGATTACAATGGGTTCGTTTTTTACTGGTAAATGGAAGTGTAACTTCCAAGGACGTGTTTTACACAGTTTAATGAACTTTGATATTGTTTATATATTGGAGAAAATCCTCAGTAAGCACATGCAGTAAAAGATCACGTCAAAGACGTCTTCCACATACGACCGATTGGCCTAAGTTTATTGTTGAAAATATCAACAGTTTTACTTACAATTTCGCCACGTTCTCAATTGCTAGCTACCAGTAGGTAATGTTTTTCTGACCTCTTAAGGAAAAGGGTAAAGAGATAAGTAATAAGTCAATACCCTTTATTAAAGTATGAAACGGTCCTTATTTTGTTTAAGGTATATCTTTGCTGCAATAGAATAACATATAGTAACTTGGGTTTGATGCGACACAATCCTATAAAACAAATAATTCGAAAAAACCCACTTCTGGTTCACTAACGGAAAGGAGAAGGAAGATGGGTATTATGTGCAGTGACAGTCAGGCGGCGCTGAGTTGCGCTTGATTGAAGGCGAACTGTGGATTGATTAGGTGTATCTAACAGGGTAAGCTTGATCTGGGTGCCAGCGCACTGCGGAATATGGGGGAACGATAGGGTGGGCGAGCTGGCTCGTGAAGAAAATAGTAGGGTCTTCGTCGTACCCGAGTCTCCTCTAGGAATTGCTCCCTTCGATGTCAGGTGCAGGATTACAGACTGGGATACCATTCAATTCCGGGCTCAGTGGCAACAAGCAACTGGACTCAGATACTCCAGGGACTGTTTAACAGGGCAAATGTGGGTCTTCTAAGCTTCTAAAGCTGAATAAAAGCCTTAACTTAACGGAACTGAACTTAATCTATAAATTAAATCAACACATTGTGTAATGATTAATGAATAACCGTCAGGTACAAAAAGCAAATTAATTACATTTTCATAAACTCCCTGTATAATAAAAATAAATCGAATTGCAATACGTTAGTATGATAAGGATGATCAGGCGCTACTGGCAACTGGTGTCCCCACACAACAACTTGATGCAAAATTACAAGTATGTGGTTTTATCACCTTGACATAAGATAGAAAATTAAATAGTGCTTAAGCATAAAATTCCCTTCAACAGAATTATTAAGAACTACCTATTGTAACGCACCGGTTACTATTAGGACCCGTGTGGCGAGTTGTATATAGTATTTTTTAAGTTAAGTAGGTATAAGTAAAATAGTTAGATTAAATTTGTGGACACCCTGCTTTGTAAAATACGCCTCCGCATGTAAGGGCCCATGGACTTTCTGCCACATGTGCAACCGATTGGGGTTTCCGGGCCATTGTGAATTATTACGGTCAACGGTGATACCATGTGTGGCGGCAAGATCCAAGATGCGGTAATTTTTCCCTTGGTGAACCAGGAGGAAACGGAAGGAGTTCGCCAATAGCCGTCTTGGGCAACGCACGTCCGAGACCGCGGATAAGTACGGCGGTCATTAGCGTCCAAGTGCGGGGTTTGAGATTCGCGACGTTCCACAAATCAAAATGCTAGTGTGCGCGACAAGTTCGGCATTTTGCGATAGTGGCATCCCGGAAACCGCAGTTTGTTCGAGGGGATTGTTACCACCGAGACGCAGCGTCAGGAACGAGATTATCACCTTCATCTTCATCACCATCAAAGAGGAGGCCTAGAAATCCTACGACAGATGTGTGAACGGGTTCGTGCGCACCGCCCTTTTTAAGTAAGTGACTCGATTACTAACTTCGCGTCTGGAGATTGTTTTTTCTACTGCCGTTATTGTCCGTGTTTTTTTGTAGGGTTCATAGTGTCCTCATTTGTATATTATATTGTAGTGTTAGGTAGGTTTATCTAGTAATATATGTAAATCGAATTAGAGTTGTTCTTTAGTATTACCCATTAGCCCACTGGTCCTGAGAAAGAGGGATATCCGCTCATGCAGAGCTAGTACTCCGGTGCATTACGGTAGGTACTTTACCACCCAAATAATTAGAGTCAGTTAAAAAAGCGACACACCAATTCAGGGTGTTGCACTATTATTAAATAAGTTTCTCTTTAGGCGATCGATTTCGATTTTATTAATGTCATCTTCAGGCCGTAGCGTCAAAGTCAATGTCAACAACAAAGTCAACCGCCCCATCAACATCCACATCTTTTCACATAAATTCTAATGTTACCACCATTCATCCACTTACTATTATATTTTAACTTTGACGCTACGGCCTGAAGATGACATTAATAAAGTCAAAATCGATTGCCTAAAGAGAAACTTATTTAATAATAGGTAGTTCTTAATAATACCCTTCATTAATGACCTATTAAATGATGGAGTCATACATCAAGCATATTCCCTTCAACACCTTAGGTGAGACCGTTGCTTCAATGTAGAATGAAATTGTTCCCCCAGCAACACTTTGCATGGACCGGTTAGAGAATCCTATGTGGTGTTACCACACGCGAGGCAGCACCGCCTTCGACCCCTACCACAGGGATTGCGATACTCGACCTACCATTGGTCGAACCTGCGCAACAAAAGGTCGACGGGATATAAATACGATACCCCAAACGCCAAATAGGCACTGGAATTGGAAAAGTTATTTACTACCCTTCTACAACTGACGAGACTGGTCATTTGGCTCTAGTCTACCACTTTCAGTGTTCAGGATTCTAACGGTGCCCATGTCCTCTCCGTTCTTAAGGTATTAAGCATTAATACTTTGCTTGCTCGTCGTCAGTTTCTCGATTTTATCTTTCTTTATAAACTTCTAAATGGTTGTATTGACTCGTTATATTTGGTGGAATTAATAACATTTAATGTTCCTGGAAGAACTCTGAGGTTTAGTCAATCTTTTAGCATAAAACTGTATAAAACGTTATATTTACAGTAATTCCAGTAATTTTAGCATAATTACCGTCAAACGGGGTGGAGTCGATCAAAAAAATGCGTTTTTTTGAGATAACTGAAAAACTAATGATTATATTTTGACGCAATTAAAAATGTAACATCCTTGATGCTTAGGTTGTCGATTGGTTACTAAAAAAGGTCGTAGATGGAGCAGTTTTTTTTTTATTTTTAATCAAAGGGTGATCGACTTCACCCCATGGTTCGGGGTGAAGTCGATCACCCCTTTTAAAATGCATATTTCTCACTTCAGGCCCGTTTGGAGGTGTAGTCGATCATTGAAAAATAAAAAATATATATATTAAACGACATTTTCAGAAAAATTTTGCAATAAAACGCATATATTGAGAAAAAATAAACGTTTATTCTATGAACAGGATTAACACAGCCGTTGATTTCGTGATGAAACAAACCGTTCATAGACAAATTAAACTTAAAAATAAAAAACAAAAAATTAAACTAAAAAACAATATTCAAAAAAAAACAATAGAACGCAAAAAATTCTACTGGAGCGTTTCCAGTTCTTCTCCAAGCGAGAAATAATATTTGCCGCGCTTCAGAGACTTCAAAATAACACGTCGGACAATCTGTTGTCTGTTTATTACAGACTCATCCAGAATATTCGGAAAACTGAAGAACACAGATTTGTTGGATGCATGCTTTCTCAGTGTACTTACAACTAATTCAGTCTCTGTCATTTCAATAATTTTAGCGATATAAAATCGATCTCTTTTATTAGTTTCATATTTGGTGATTATAAAGTCTCCTATATCACAGCCGCCGGATGAGTCAGGAATGTCTACGATACGCCACTGCCCTAGCACACGATGATGAGAAAATCAAACAAAAACAAATTGCTTTGAACGTAACCTCAAAACCTCACAAAATACTGCGAAAATCAAGTGATTCACTTCACCCCGTTGTTTTGATTCGACACACAAAAATTCCAATTGAAACCACGCAAAAAATAAATTAGCATATCTGATTGAGCCCATCTTTTCTTAATGATATTCCTTATCACCTAGAGGGACTAGGACGGGCCTAGTTTTTACAGGTTCGGCTGTGCAGATGTTTGATTTCGCATATTTTACTGATTGATAAATTTTGCTTCCTACTATTTAATTTTTTTTGGAAAACTCACCTTTCAAGATCAACCTGCTTCACTAGTATAATGTTTGTTTGCTTGTTGGACACACGATCGTGAATAAAAATCAGCTGATTTGTGATGCGTTGTTGCCATATGCTTAAAAACAAGTGGAAATCCCGGTTTGATCAACTTCACCCCTGCCGATCAACTTCACCCCGTTTGACGGTACCTTTTGTATATGTGAATTGTACACAAAACCGCCGACGTTAGCCCATCATAAGACATCGGCACGATTATGGACGTCCCCGTCACCAACACTACCACCACCAACTCCGGACTGGACCCGGCAGCAGTGGCGCCCAACAACCCCACCTTATCCAAACGTTGATAGATGCTCTA